ATAATCACCAAGCTACTTCGGTTAGGTCCTTAATAATCGCAGATGTCTTTAGTCGAATTCTTGTATTCGCTCCCCGTAGAGTCTTATTTAAAAACGGCTATCATCATCAATCATCATTACAGCCCTTCACAAGTCCACTGCTGAACATAGGCCTCCCTCATGGAATGCCACAAAGCACGGTCCTGAGCCACCTATGCATCGACTGCCTGCATGTCTTACCAGGTCGTCACTCCATCTAGTGGGGGGTCGCCCTACACTTCGCCTACCGGTACGAGGCTGACACTCTAGAACCTTTCTTCCCCTTTGGTTGTCGGTTCTTCGAGCTATATGGCCGGCCCACTGCCACTTCAGCTTAATAATCCGTTGGGCTATGTCGATTACTCCGGTTCTAATGCGGATATCCGCATTTCTAAGTTTATCACGCAGAGAAACCCCGAGCATAGCCCTCTCCATAGCTCGCTGAGCGAGCTTGAGCTTCTTCATACGGCCAGCAGTGAAGGACCACGTCTCAGATCTGTAAGTCTCCACTGGCAACACGCACTGGTTGTACAATTTCGTTTTGAGGTATGTCTAACGAGAAGATGTGTCGTATTTTCCCGAACGCTGCCCAGCCGAGTTGAATCCGTCGATTGACCTCTCGGTTGAATTTGGACTTACCTAGTCAGACTATTTGTCCCAGGTAAACATACTCGTCAACAACTTCGAGCTTAGTGCTCCCAACAACGTTACGGACAACATGATTTTTGTTTTGTCCATGTTCATCTTAAGACCTATCCGTTGGGAGACACTACTGAGGTCATTGAGCATAGTGCTTAGGTCCTCTAGCGATTCTGCCATAAGGACTATATCGTCGGCAAATCGAAGGTGAGTGATTTACTCGCCATTGATATTAATACCGTATTCTTTCCAGTCCAGAAGCTTGAAAACGTCTTCCAATGCAGTGGTGAAGAGTTTCGGGATATAACGTCACCCTGTCTTACACCTCTCTGCAATTAGATAGGTTTCGTACTCTGGTTCTGTACTCGGATAGCCATCGTAGCCCTACTGTACAAGCACTTCAGCACTTCGATATACCGACAGGCACTGCTGAAGGGACTGCAGCACCACCCAAAATTCGACGGAATCAAAGGTTTTTCTCATAGTCCACATACGCCAGAAATAGTGGCAAATTGTATTCCTCGGACTTCTGTACAATTTTCCGAAGGGTATGTATGTGGTCTATGGTGCTAAAGCCCTTTCGGAAACCGTTTTGTTCGGGAGGCTGGAAGTCGTCAAGTCTGCGTGCGAGACGATTCGTAATGACTCTCGAAAACAGCACGTAGATGCGTCTCAAAAGGGAAATTGGTCTGTAGTTCTTCAAGAGAACGTTGTCACCTTTCTTGAAGAACAAGACCACCGCACTTCTGCTCCACGCCTCCGGTGTAATGCCACCACGGAGGACGGAATTAAAGAGCTTCTGAAGGACTTCAAGTACCGGTTTTCCACACGCGTTCCGAAGCTTCGCTGTGATTCCATGCTCGTCTGGGGCCTTGCCGTTTTTAAGGTGCTGGGTCCGGGATATCATCGGAATAGCGTCGGAAAAGACTCGCTCTTGGACCGTTACTCACACTTACGTGTGGCTCTAACGATGATGTACACAGCTGCCCATAGAACCTCTCAATCTCACTCAAAATCTCAGGTGTCCCGGAAACGATGCTGCCACATTCTGTCTTCAGCTTTGACAGTTGGCTCTTTCTGGCAGACAGAACTCTGGCAAAGACTTTGGAGCCCTGGTTCCGCTCGACCGCTGCTTCAATACGAGCAGTATTAAAGTTGCGTATGTCCCGCCGCATGCATTTGAAGATCTGTCTGTTCAGTTGCCTGTATGCTGTCAAATCTACTGAAGACTGCAGCTTTATTTACCGTCTAACAGCCATGAGATTAAGAGTATGATCGGAGGATATTTTTGTTCTTCTGCGGCTTGTCTTGCAAAACTTAGCTCCGACCGCATGGAAAATTTTCAAGAGCTTGTCATTCATATCGTCCACTGCATTGCAATCTTCTAGGCACTGAAAACTGTTTTGTAGCTCGAGCTAAAAGGTTTCGGGACTTTGGATTAGAGCACTAGAGTGACGGAGTATAGACTTCATTACGAGTAGACGTGACCTGTCCAACTTAACGTTTAGGTTCAGTATGCCTCTCACCATTCTGTTGTGATCGCTGCCGGTTTTCACCCTCGGGATCACTGAGACATCACTGAACAGTTGTCGTCTGGTCGTCATAATGAAGTCAATCTCATTTTTTGTCGCACCGTCGGGGCTCGACCAGGTCCATTTCCTGTGGCGTCGCTTCTGGAAGAAAGAGTTCATCATAAAGAGTCCCTCTTTCTCCATGAAATCTGCGTGCGTTATAAGTTGCTAGGTCGAGTCGTCGTAGGTGGCAACCGAACCTCCACAGAAGATTCTTAGCACCCCCTGCCCTGCCGTTACCACCGTAGCCAGGAATAGCGGGGCCGCCGGGGACTGGGGGCCGTTTATTAATGTCATTGCTCATGAGGAAGTTTCTTACCATTTTCATTATAATTATAATATTATTATGTTACAACAGGCGTTATCAGTGGTCGCAAATGAAATTCGAGGTCACAAAAAGGTGCGCATGATTTTATATTCACACTCATTTATGTGACTTGAATGTTTCAAATTCCATTACTCAAAAATTATTTTTGTTCTTTATTAACATTTTTCCTCAATATTGACACCTCGTTCATTTAGTTTTGCTGTATAATACATAATCTCGATACCAACTTGAACTATTTTTAATCGAGTTCTTCGCTCACTCTCTCGGGACACGATTCATATTGTCAGTCATAAGCGAGGTCGTGAACGAGTGAGAGAGGTGTTTTAATGTTAAAATTCGAGTAACTCTTTCGATTTGCCGTCACGAGGACCTCAAACGAGGCAACTCATGAGTGAGTTTATAGAATAGAATAGAATATTTTTTTATTCAATATTGATAAGTAGTAATAGTAAGAATACTTATTGAAAGCCATTTTTTATTTACCACTGGTTCGAAAATCACACCAGTCCTGGGAAGAACCAGCAAGAAACCCAGTTAGACTTTTTTTTTCAAACATATTTCACTTAACAATAACTTCGTTTATACAATTTTTAAATGATTTTTCATAGAACCAGCATGGTGGCGATCACCTTATTCCCAGGGGTTATTTTCATTCATGTATTCCTTGATATTATAATAACCCTTTTTGTACAGTTTTTCTTTAATAAATCTTTTAAACTTGTTTATTGACAAACTTTGAATATGTTCTGGGATTTTGTTGTAAAAGCGTATACATTGCCCCATAAATGAATTACTGATTCTGTGGAGTCTAGTAATTGGCATTACAAGCTTATGTTTGTTCCTAGTGTTTAAAGTATGCACATCCTTATTCCTATTAAAGCTATTTATGTTTTTATATACATACATTACATTTTCAAAAATATATTGCGATGCCAAAGTTAATATGTTTATTTCGTTAAACTTTTCTCTGAGGGACTCTTTACAATTTAGGTTATAAATTGCCCGTACGGCTCTCTTTTGCAAAACAAATATAGCTTCAATAACAGTCGCATTACCCCATAGCAAAATTCCATAAGACATTACGCTATGAAAGTAACTAAAATACACTAATCTAACTGTCTCGATATCTGTGAGACTTCTAATCTTTCTTACAGCATATGCTGCAGAACTAAGTCTGCTTGCTAATTTATATATATCGGGGCCCCATTGAAGTTTCGCGTCAACAGTAATACCAAGAAAAACAGTGGTATCCACAAGACTCAACTCCTCCCTATTTAACAGCACATTGGTATTCGAATGTTTTACAGTAGGTATTGTAAATTTAATACACTTTGTCTTGTTGCAGTTTAAGAGCATATTGTTGGCGTTAAACCAATGTACCAATTTCGATAGAGCATTATTTACATAATTAATTAACTGCCGTTTGAGTTTAAAAATTAAAGAGGTATCGTCAGCAAATAATACTATATCGTGATTGTCCCCTACAAGATAAGGTAAGTCATTAATATAGATTAAAAACAGGAATGGGCCAAGAATCGAGTTCTGAGGAACGCCCATTGATACTACTGATCCGGAAGAACCTTTACCATTGATCACGACTTTTTGAGTTCTGTTACTTAAATATGAAGTAATAAGTCTAATCGCTAAATTTTTTACACCGAAATGTTGTAGTTTCCTGATTAATATCTCATCATGAACACAATCGAAAGCCTTGGAAAGATCACAGAAAATACCTAAGACACCTTGTGAATTATATCGCTAATTCAATATAGTATCACTATATTGAATTGGCGATATAAGCGAATACTTCGAAGCGATACAACTGCGAATTAAAGTGATCTGTAGTACAATTGTTTTGTTATTAGTGTGATTATAAGTTGTAATTAGTGTTCTGTAATTAAAGTGTCAATTTTGGTAATTCACTCGGCAGTTTTTAATTGTGTCGAACCCCAATCTCGTAACAATATTATATGCCATAGTGAAAAGCGGGCTTAATAATCGCTATGTCAAATTGACAGTGTCAATGTCAATCCTGTCACTGCCTGTGCATTATAGAGTTTTGGCGGGAACTTGACCGGCGGCAGCTTGCTGCTCCTGTATTATTGTTTAAATAATGGTTTGAAGTGGGCTTTGGTATGTAAAAGTGGTGCGATTTTGTGTATTGTCTGCGCATGTGAACTATTAGTGGAAACTGTGAAACAAGTGCTCTGATGGTGATGGATTCTCAAGATAAGCTGTTTGTTTTAGATACCATCGCCAACTGTCAGCTGCCTGCTGGCTCAAGTTGCCGTCAAAATCTCCCAAGGGCTGCACAATGTGACGCATCAACATATTGTAAAGCAGTGAGTGAACTATGAAGGATAATTATACATGAAGACAAGACTGTATGGCATAGTTCCTTTGCCTGCTCTCTCGAGCGAATAATAAAAATAACAAACAACACCAATCACCAACTGTGCATTATAATTGTAATATATTATAATAATATTTTTGAAAACTCGGATTTATTGCTGAAAAAGTGAATTAAATTATATTAAAGCTAATGGAAACAGGAATGGCCTTGAGTGAAGTTTGTAGAATTTGCTTATGCGTTAATGTACGCATGTTGGTACTAAAGAAGACTAGTCTCCGAAATTTGTACAAAACATTGACGAACAGTTTTGTAAGTTTGTTAACATTTCCTCATATTGCAAATTGAAGTTGCGGTAATTTGTTGCTACTGCCGATGAAATACTTTATTACTTGCCATATAAAAATGTGATAGATGGGGCTAGGCTAAGACAAATGCAACCAGAACCTGAAAAACACCAATTAGCCTGAAATCCTACTACGTGCTAGAAGAGGCACCGAGACTTAATTGTTTGCAACACGCGTTAGCGCCTGCGAGATAAAAATTACTTAGTCTGTGCCATAAAAAGGTACCTTGTGCCTTCCTTCCACGCGACCCGCACTGCTACATAGTTTTTTCCCGGTCTATGTTCTAGTACATATTACTGAGTTTTATTGCGATTTTCTGTCAAGATATCCAAATCCACCCTGGTTTGGTCTTTTAATACTGGCAAGCAAATTGTTGAGTGGCCCCCCACTGGATAGTGGTAATCTGGCAACACGAAGTCCATGGATGTAGGTGGCTTAAGACTGTGTTGTTGCAGTGATGATGATTCACTAGGTGGTACAATTTTTTTTCTTCCTAGGAGTCTGTCTGGTTAAACTATAGACATCCGGTACTCACCTACGAGGTTGGTAGGGGGAGGGGGGGTCAGGGGAAGCCCCCCTACCCTTCCCCGCTTGTGGAAATGTATAGTTTATGAGTAATAATTTCTGTGTTCTGCCAAACAATCATATGCCCGCCAACAATCAGTATGAATTGTGGTACCCGCCGCCACATGTCTCTGTATAAGCGGCACCAGTACCTCAGCAGACCTAATATTGTCCGGGTACACCTCTAATCTGAGATCCTCAGACCCATCTTCTATCATACCGAGCACCCAGTGGCCTTCGATGTGACGTCCTATAACAAATAAAATTAATATTAGACATTTAGTATGACAAAAAAAGGTGTAAACATAATCATACTTATATTTACCTTTATTGTATTTTCGTTTTCCAAATTTGCTCTTATCAATTTGTACAATTTTACCAGGGCCACCAATCTTTCCAGTAAACTGATTCTGTTTCTCGAGGTAGTAAATAACAACTACCTCTCTGCAGTAATTGTACCAATCACATATTGTATTTGGGCTTAAACATTGTTGTCTCTGTCGTTTATATGGGTCTTCATGGATTGTTTGATTATAAGACCATCCTTGTGAATATGCATATATGAGGTAATATATGTGGGGCATATCAAGAGTTACATTTTCAAAAAAAGTCCCTTGTCGTCGTGAGATTTTAACTCCACTGCCTCCAGCTTTCCCCTTACAGGATGCTTTAGCACATATGAAAGTACCAAGCGATTTGCAGCCACTTGAGTATGAAATTTTCATATTAGTTTTATGTTTGCCGCACTTTCGTTCCTTTAGGACCAGCCCTTCATCCTCACTATATCGAACACATTGCTCGTTCGTTCCAAGTTCACGCACAATATCCGACAGATTCCACATGAACATAATCTCAGACACGTATAGTCGACGCTTCACATAGTCGCCGTAGTCAGAGAAGTCTTCGTCGATGTGTGATGGTTCCTCGAGTAAAGCGTCAGATGCCGAAGAAGGCCCCGCTACGGGTTCGTAATCGCTCATTCTCAGGTCCGGTAAGCAAGCCAAAGTCCAAAGTAATGCAATCCAATCAAAACCAGAAACAAAGCCAAGGTCATACGTAAGGGCAATCAAAGAAGTCCAAAAACAGAGCAGAAGTCGTCGAAAAAACAGGGAAAACACAGCACTAAGCACAAAAAAGAACATTCGCGTGACTACTAGAGAAACGGAATCACAATTTACATTTGACATCATAGATAATATATTATATTTGACATTTACGGTTGCCGACAACATGGCCGTCAACAACCGTTCCGATTCACACTTTTTGCATCTGTTTTTGACATCTAATCTCATAACACTATACAAAATTGTCATATTTGCGTTTCGTTATACGGAATTTTTATTGAAATTTATTTTTGTCATAATTAATTAAAAACGCATTTCCGACATTCAAAAACAGTTTAAAATGTTCATGCTTAACCCTGACAGGCCTCCTAAGTTGAAAACATAACTAAAATCAAGTACCGGATATCTATAGCCAACCCGTCTGTCTAGGTAGTTATCATCCTCTTGCCTATTTCTGCCACCAGCAGCAGTATGTGTCCCGGTGTGAAGGACATTGAGAGCTAGTATAATAACACGCTGTGAAGCATTACATCTTAGTCCTCAGAGGTAACATCGCATCTGTAGCCTTTGCTTGAAGTTCGTTGCAAGTGACTCAACCATTTACCATCAGGTGGTTTGTAAGTTTATTTGTCACTTCAATGTTATAAAAAATGATGTTGATGAAGAGAATCATGGTAGCCAATAGGTTTTATTACAAACTTGTATATTTAAGTAGTTTTCCAAATTTATGACGAACTTTCATATTTTCAGATGGATGAGGATGAGGAGCCCATAATTGTCTGTTTCACCTGTCATGCAAGACTCATTCGTTGCAGAACATTACAACAGCAGGCTGTTGAGTCAAAAGCAGTTCTGGAGCAGTTGCTTGCAGGAGGGTCTATGGTATTATCCGTTCCATCCATTAAAACCTATAAAAGTCCCTCATAGATTGCTTGATAGTAGTTATTTTACCAAATTTGCCACGTTTGGCAGGTTGGCAACCGCAGTTCATATTAGTCTGAGTTGTTATGAGAAACATGCTTCCGTCTAACTCCTGTTTTTGATTCCCTCTGCCGCCTCTTACGACTCCCGTCCCATGGGTAGGTAAGAATATCCACTACCCTATGTAGTGGATATTCTTACAACGCCACTAAACGGTCCACAGTATTATACTTCTTATCAATAAAAGTTAACTGCTTGATGGTTCGTTCCCATTATTATGAAGTATTTGCCTTAATCATCTTTTGGCTGGCACCTTGATGAGCACGACCTGTCTCGTGCCTTCTATGCTGCTTCCTGTTACTATATGGGGTATTATTTTTTCTACTGCAAAGTTAAGTTTATCCTTCAATCTAACTTACTTTTTTGTTAGATGTTCTATATTTTATGAATTACAGTAAGATAAGTATTTATTTTTACTAAATAATTCTCTGTTGATACTTTTATATATTACTCTATTGTATATAAACGAAATATTATCTATATGTAATATTACTCAGTAAACAAAGATAGATCTTTGTTAATTTACGGCATTTGTGAATATGTTTTGAAAAATTTTTGAGACTCGATACTCAAGATGGATGAACTACATATGTATCTACATTCTTATGAAGTTTATTCGGAACCCTTACTTTGTCCGGTTTTTATTATTATTTGTAGTTGTCAGGAAGATGCTGCTGCCCATCTCCTGTTTCAGTTTCCTTCTGTCCCTTGTTACGACATCTGCAGGATGTTATGTAAGTATGGATTCTTCTATGGCACCACTACATTGGCTTTCTCTTATTTAATAAAAGAATTTGGTTTCAGTCAATACCAAAACCGCATGCGGCTAGAGATAAGATTCAATTCACACCAATTAGTCATATAGATATCAGGCCAGTAGAATGTGATATAGAAAATGATTGTAGGGACGATATGTTTAGCCTAGAATCTGTTAAAGTTGAGGAAGAGAATTTCGAAAATGAGAATTTCAATTTTGAAGAAAATGGGAATCATGAAACAGGTAAGATATGCACATTTTGTGATATTATTAAAATAAGCTAAAAGTTACCTAATGGCAAGTGGTTACTGTAGTCCATGGAAACAAAATAATATTATAGTGACATATTGGGGTGGAGTGGGCAGTGTTTTAGATGGGTATCAATTTACTCGACAAGGCATCTTTAATGTTAACATTCTTAATAGAATGGCTGAAGACATTGACCTATTCTGTTGCACCTTGAGTGAATTCACTAGGGTAGGATTGTTTACAATTTGTTACACTTAATGACCACATTTTTTGTTATGCATGAGAAGAATTACACTGTCGCATGAGGTTATTCCTTTCATGATAGTTGTTAGTTTAAATAAATAAATAATTGTCAATGTAAAATAACTATTCATTATTTGATAAAAATAACATTGAAAGATGCTCATTATTAATGGGCATAAACGCAGCCAGTATGTATGTCACTAAGATGGATTAATTTCATAGGAATTAATGATGTACTTACAACTGGTAAGTAACCTGTCTTTGCCAATTTTATTAGGAATGCCACAAAGCACGGTCCTGAGCCACCTGCATCCATCGACTTTCTGCATGTCTTACCAGGTTGTCACTCCATCTAGTGGGGGGCTGCCTTACACTTAGCCTGTCGGTACTTGGCTGCCACTCGAGAACCTTTCTTCTCCATTGGTTGTCAGTTCTTCGGCTCATTGCCACTTCAGCTTATTACACTTAGGTTATGAAACATGCAATATGGTAATGAAAGTGGGAGGCTCGGGCCCATGAGCTTTGTGATGGACTGTAATGATCTAGTCGCTTGAAAAAACTATCAGTAATTATTTTATATATTGAGTCAGAATGTGTTTTATTCTAGAGAGTGCTGAAAAACAAGAAGACTTGGAGATTGATGCTTTTGAAGATAGACATACGGATTCGGAGAACGGCTTGCCTCTAATTGCAGTTGGTTCAAAGAGTAAAAAAGATGATGATGACATAGGTAAATGAATTTATGTTAAAAACCTGTATCAAAAAATAAAAAAAATTACCACAAATTTCTCTTGCATCAAATCGTTGGAGATGTACTATACATACCAAAGAGCAATGACAGAAAAATAGTTGACAAAAATTATAGCATCTAGAAATAAGTTATATATAAAATGAGTTTTATTATTTTTCTATGATTTTTCAAATAAAAATGTATTTTAATTAAAGCCACAGAAAAAAAAACAAACATTTTTGGGAATATCAAATGACTGAAATCATTTTACTCTATTCAAATGTTGCCATTTAGAATATTGCTACTATTTTCGTATACACTTTGTAACACTACCAACATAACACACAAAATATTTTTATATTAAGTTATTATTAGTAATAACTGTTGTTTAGGCAAGAATGTTTATTTTTATTATTTACCTTCGAGACGTATTCTAACGCGCGCGCTTGGCCTCGATATCGAGGTTACCTCCCCCTCCCCCCGGCCGCCTGACGCGGCGGGATAGGACTTTTCGAGATTATTGTAGAATTTCTTGCGAGAGAGACTGACGTTTTTTCCGCTCCTAACTTGTTGCGAAAGTATCAACCCGCGTAAATCGTTGTGAGAATCGTATCGTTCATCAGGAACTACTAACTCCGTTAAATTCATTGTGCAACCATAATCGTGATTTACCTCTGAAGTACTACGTGTAGTTTCGTGACAACCCAGGAAGAGTGCCTCCAGAGGGCGGAAGTTCCGAAGATACCAGCGCATACCTTCTCCCGGACGGCATTGCGTCATCCAGATCAGGACCCGTCAACATACACGCACATACAATTACACATACACTCACGACACTGTCATCAGCCGGGCCTGTCTCGGAGAATCGTCTCCGCTCCTGGAGCAGGTGAGTGACTTTATCGTAGTAACATTTCCCCTCGTTTGTTTCCATCAGAAATTTCTACTTTGGACAAAAGCCCGACCTGTATCTGCCTGTAGGATCTAACTACTATGTGCCTAGGTGGATACTACCTTTAGCTAGGCAGCTGCAGGCCTTAACAACTGGTAGCAGAACGCGGTTCCGGGTTCGATTCCCGGTCGATCCCGACCATAGTGTTGATAAACATTAAACAATTCTGGTGGCAGGGAGCGTTGGTTTGATTGGTTTAATTTGTATCTACAATCACGCCCGTCCGTAATACGTAAAAATACTTTTTTGTACGTAATAATAGAATTATTTCCCTTTGTTGTTTGTTGCTTGCCTTTTTTTTGGTTAGTAGGTAGTTTGAAAAACCGCGCCATAGGTTGCGCAAGCGGGAGTTTTTCTAGAGATATACGTCATGTAGGTAGATGGTTATTTTTACGTAATCGGTTAATTATCGTTGTCGGATAGTTGTAGTGGATTACTTATCGATTTCTGAATTTCGAAGTATCTTCGTTTATACTGCAATTTCTATTTGAACTAAAGAGTAGTAATTGTATTTGCGCAATTTGAATTTAACTTGATTTGACCGTACTAGGGTTGTTACGTGCTAATTTGATTTGTGTTTTTTCGTATTTACTTGTAGTTTTGATTGATATTATCGTATTAGTAGTACTGTATTCGTTATTTCTTTTATTTTGTTATTAGTATTCGTTATTGTATTGTATTTAGTATGCCGTCACATAAGCTACTAATTCGTTGCTTGCGGACTGAGCTGCGCTGGGCCACCAGCGCACACGCATTGATAGGCCGACCGGACAGGGTCTATAATCTGAGGAAGAGGCTCGAGCAGGTCGATGCTCGAAGGGCTGCCGTGGAGGAGGCTTACTCTGAGCTCGAGGACTCGAAGGTGGAAAAGGGAGTCCTGGACTCCTGCCGCGCGGACTACGAGCAGTTCCTAGCGCTAACGGACGACCTGATCGAGGCGGGGGCCAAGGACGCGGAGAGGGAGCGCGAAGCTCGGCTGAGTAGCCTTCTCGAGTCCCCGCGGAAGCCGCCTACTCAGCCAGAGCTGCTAGGACGACTGGACCCAACGCTGGACCTGCCAAGGTTCTCCGGGGTCCTCTCGGAGTGGCTGACCTTCGTCGGCATGTTTGACAGCCTGGTGGACGCCCGGAGGGACCTGACCCCCTGCCAAAAAATGGGGTACCTCCTGGCATCACTGGAGGGGGAGGCCCGGGGCGTCGTCGGCCACCTTAAGTTGTCGGACGACGCCTACCAAAACGCCAGGGACCTCCTCGCTGGAAGGTACGCCAACGTCCGGCGGATTGCGGACGACCATGTGCGGAGGCTGCTGAACCTCCCGCTGCTGAAGGACCGGACTAGACTACGTGAAGACATAGTGAATCCAGTCGTCGTAGCGTGCAACTCGTTGCGGCGGCTGGATTTACCTGTGGACGAGTGGTCTTTTCTGCTCCTTCATATAGTGCTGTCCCGCTTGCCCCTCGACCTTCGGCTCCATTTTGAGGAGAGGTACGGAGGGGATGGCGCCCTTTAGGGGCCTTCTGCGGTTCCTGGAGGAGCAGTGTAGGCAGCTGGAGAACGCAGCAGGCGCCGTCGAGGGCCCCCCGGCCGCCTCCCGAGCGGTGCCCAGGGAGAGGCGGAATCAGCCGGCCAAGGCGGCGCCCACCCCCCTGAGGCCGAGCGGAGCCCCCGCGGGAGGGTGCCCCCCAGTACCCTCCTATAGTGGCCTAGCGACCCGGGAGGCGCCTCCCTGCTCCTATTGTCGAGCATCCGACCATCGGGCGGCGTCGTGCCCGAAGTTGTTGCGCAAGCCGACTACGGCGAGGCGAACCATCGCCAGGGAGCGCCGCTGGTGCTTCTCGTGCCTGGAGAGGCATTTACAACGAGACTGCCCGCACCAGCGGCCCTGCACGCACTGCCAGGGTAACCACCACGTCATATTGTGCCTGGGTGCGCGCGGCTCGTCCTCTCAGGGCCCTGACAGCCCCCCGACTCCCACGGGCGGGGGCGCCCAGCCACGCCCACTGTCGGGCAACGCCCGGCGCTCACCGGTGGAGCACAGCGCCCCTCGGTCTGAGGGGAGTCCCTCCCCCGATCGGTCTGGGAGTCGTTCCCCCAGGGGCGGGGGGGTCTTCACCCCCCCTCAGCGAGTGGATAGTGGATTCGCGGCCACTCAGCGGTCAGCTAGACCGTTCTCACCCCCGTTGGCTGAGTGGCCGCGACTGGAACGCCGCCCGCCCCCCTTTGGTCGGTGCCGGTACTACCGGGTTCCGGAGACTGCGTATCGGCCCCGGGCCTTGGAGCCGAGGATCCCCGAGTTTCCTCAGGTCGGCCCGTTCGGGGAATTCCAGTCAAGGGTCATCGAGACGCCGTCGGAGTGCCGCTCTCGGGGCCCCAGGGTTCGGGTGCCGGTCCAACAGAGGCAGCTCCAGATAGGAGGCTGCCGCCCTAGCTCCCGCCATGGCAGCCTCCACTGAGCCTATAAGTCGTCAGCAGTCCACCTGTCAAACTGTTCTATTGCCGACGGCCTCAGTGAAGGTTTACAACCCGAGCGGCGACCGCTTAACGGTTCGAGCTCTATTGGATTCGGGTTCCCAACGTAGTGTGGCCTCTACTCGGTTGGTGGGAAGACTGGGGCTCCCCTGGAGCTCTGAATCACGTCCGATGGTAGGTATCGGAGGTCCCGAGCCTCCCGCTCCTAGGGGACAAGCGGAGTTGGTGTTCAGCCCTGACAGCGAACACCTTCGTATTTTAGTCAAGGTAAATGTCCTCGACGACATTGTAGGGTTCCTCCCTAACGTTCGTATAAATGACAGCGCTGTGCGCTGTGCGTCGGCTTTGAGACCGGCAGACCCTCGGTGGGCCCAACCTGGGCCTATAGATTTGTTACTGGGGGCCGACACGCTGGGTGTCCTCTTGTTAGGTGAGATACGAGCTCTGCAGCCCGATGGCCTGTCAGCCATTTCCACGATATTTGGGCACAGCTTTTTTGGACCGGTTATGTGGTCTCCTCCCCCCGCGACGGCCGACTCGCTCTCCGTCGTGGGCGTGTCTCTATCGGATGCGGTTCTGGGAAATTGAGGAACCACCACATGCAGCTCGAGTCGACCCTCTGGACCGTGAGTGTGAGTTGTTCTACCAGAACAATACCGGCCGGCGGGTTGACGGTCGTTTCGTCACTCGCTTACCCTTTCTGGATTCACGCCCCTCTTTGGGTCAATCTCGTGCTCTGGCCGAGAAGAGGTTGCTTTCCATGGAGCGCCGCATGCGGCGCGACCCAGCCTTTCGCGACAAATATGTCGAGTTCATGCGCGAGTATCAGGAGCTGGGTCACATGTCACCGTCCAACTTCGAATGGCGTTCACAGGAGCATTACTTCCTCCCTCACCATGCGGTCTTGAGGACCCCTGAGAGTAAGATTCGGGTAGTTTTTGACGGTTCCGCCCCCACATCAAACGGTGTGTCTCTGAACCAGTGTCTTCACTCGGGTCCTAAACTGATCAAGGACATATCCGACATCTTGACCCAATTCCGTCGACACCAAGTAGTTTTTGTCGCGGACATTCGGATGATGTTTCGCCAATCAGTGGTCCATCGTGATGACCGCCGATATCAGCTGATATTGTGGCGCGAGAAGCCCAGCGATCCTATACAGGTATTTGAGTTGAACACCACCACATATGGACTCCGGTCCAGCCCGTATATCGCCATGCGAACCCTCCTTGAACTCGCTGAGAGAGAGCGCCTGAGATACGCTCGGGGAGCTTCTATTTTGGAGACTTCGGTCTACATGGACGACATTTGTACGGGCGCTTCCACCGTCGAGGAGGCTCTGGTCTTGCGAGACGAATTAATTGCCATCCTGAAGTCTGGAGGCTATGAGTTGCGCAAGTGGTTGTCGAACTCCCCTCATATTTTGAAGGACCTCCCAGGAGAGGATCAGCAAGACCCTCATCTGTTCGAGCACCCTGAGAATCCTAATTTGTTGACTGTGCTGGGCATTCAATATCAGCCTGTTCAGGATACCTTTACGTATAGAGTAAAACTTGACCCACCGCCCAAAGCATGGACTAAA